TATAGGACAGAATAAAACTGTCCAATACAGTTTACAAGGCTGTAAATCATTATGGAAACAGACTGCCTCATTTTCCTCCTGTGGAGCAGCAAGTGGCTTTGATTCCCTGACCTTTTGATTAGCAGCTGAATGCTTAAACCACTGTGCAATCAGAACTCTTTTTTTTTATAGGACTACATAGTCTTAAATAAAAAAGTTCAGAAATATACATAAATTAGGATATAGTATTTTAATACACAGTATTTAAAATTTTTTGTTTTGTTTTATTTGAGGAATTTATTTATTTATATGCTCATTTGGTAATAGTATCTGAATTGAGGAGTTGGGAAGGTGAGAAAAGTCCAAATGGTCCTGGGGGCAAGAGTTGATATATTAATTGGGTGAAATCCTTACCTGTCAAAGGGGTACAGGACACTCCAGCATCTTCTTTATGCCCACAATTATGTTCTCCCCAGGAACTCTTTGGACATTGCTCAATAGAAAGTTCATTCCCAGTGCAGCGTACTTCATCCAACAGTACTGGGCCAGATCCTTTCCCAAAATATGCCTGGTTCCATGCTTTGGCAATGCCACTGAACATAAAAACATAGGAATTCTGGATTAGACACAAAATATTGGTCTGACTTGTTTCCTTTGCTTTTGGTAAAGGCATAGTTAAGATTAATCCACATGAAGGCATTGGTGGTTCACTGGTAAAAAAAATCTTGTCTTCCATGTAGAAGACCTGGGTTAGACTCCTGGCCAATGCACCTCATACACAGCCACTGCCTGTCTGTCAGTGGGAGCTTATATGTTGCTATCATGCTGAACAGGTTTCAGCAGAGCTTCTAGGCTAAGAAAGGGTAGGAAGAAATGCCTAGAAATCTGCATTTCATTCCATTGTATACTGGGTATCCATAAGTCCAGGGCCAACTCAACAGCAGCCAACAAAAACATGATTAAGCCACACTTTCCTTTTCAGTTCACTCCAACAGTTGTACATGACGACTCTGTATTTCCTTAATTATTTGTTGCATTTTCAGCCATTTGTCCTTTGTGCTCATCAAACCCACCAGCCATAGTGATACTGCCATCTACTTCCGTAGTGATACTGCCTCGGAAACACAAGGAGGGGTCACTATGAGTCAGGTCCAACTCGACGGCATATAACAACAACAATTTCACTTACCATAACATCCTCTAGGTTCATCAATATTATGAGATGTTAGCAGATTCACCATTGTTCTTTAATATTGTGTAGTTTCTATCGGGAAAGAAGATTAGGCAATTTACTTTTGTAGTGATCCCACCTCAGAAACCCAGGGTGACATTCCTATGAGTCAGATCTGACTCGACCACAGTGAGTTTGGTTTTTTGGTTTAGTAATCTATTGTGTGTATGTACCAGTTTGTTGATTGATTCTTCCATCAACGAGCATTTATCCATTTTTTTGCTATCATGAATAGTACTGCAATGTATATGGGTGTGCATATATCTGTTCATATCATGGCTCTTTTTTCGATAGGTTATATACTTAGTAGTGGGATTGCTGGATCATATGGTATTTCTATTTCCAGATTTTTAAGGAAGCATCATATCGTTTTCCTCAGTGGTTGTACCAGTTTATAGTTCCATCAGCAGTGTATAATGATTCCAGTCTCTCCACACCCTTGTCAGTATTTGTTATTTTCTGATTTTTCAAACTTCGCTATTAGTGCTAGGGTGAAATGATATCTCTTTGTCATGTATGTATTGTTGTTGTTGTTGTTGTTATGTGCCGTCCAGTCGGCCCCGACTCATAGCGACCCCTCCTTGGGTTTCCGAGGCAGTATCACTACGGAAGTAGGATTGCCCAACCTTCCTTCCAAGGAGTGGCTGGTGGG